TCAATGAATGCAGAGGACTTCTGGGACACATTCCCTGCCCTCTTTGCAGGGCCTCTCACTAGCCCACAAGACACAGTCTTTATGCACCGAAGCACCACTTAAGTACCCACATTGGTGACATCCTTGGCACTTTAGACCGACACAGCTACGTGCACCTTGTCATGCTGGGTAGGCTGCCCCATGGCTGTGCAGGCTCTGGGATGCAACAGAACCACCCAGGCTCATGCACAACTGAAATTTGAGGTCAAAGAAAAACCATGCCATACAGAGAATATGGAGACCCATAGTTGAGCCTCGCCCTGGTTTTGAATCTGCATCTCCTGCTTTCCAGCATGCATTGCCCAGAGCACCCTCCAGCAGCCAGGAAGGGATCCAGGAGGAGAAGAGGAAGCCACAGCAGTGATATGGAACTGCCCTGCTGCCATTTCATGTACCTGTTTTATGCAATGACTATTAAATGCGAGGTGCAAAAGAAGAATCACCGTGGGCAGAACCCAGGCACCGTGGGGCTGAGACCCCCAGGGAAGCACTAGTGGCAATGAAACCCCAGGCAAGGCAGATCAGCACAGCTGCCTTGAGGTCTGAGCAGCGCAGCTTTGCAGCAGCTGAGCATCTGGTCTCATGCTCTCGATCTGGCAAAGGGGCTCCTGGCCTGATCAGACCCTGCACCCAGGCACCCCATGGCCCAAGTGAACTCTGGCCTCCGCGAAAGCAAACAAAAGACACATCCACCGGAGAAACATCACGCGCAGGGCAACAGGCAATTCAAACAAACACAGCACGAGCTGGCAAGGGCCTGGTATGCAAGATGTGTTGGGACTTGCTGCTGATAGCAGTCGCTTGCATGCAGCCATTCATAAGAAGCACAGCAATTACCTTCTCGGGAAGGTGGTATTATGATGGTTTCTTTAAGCAGCCATGGGATCTCTAGCAATGGGATATCATTGCAGGGGAGGATACAGCTCTTAAACCCCACACAGCTCAGGGAGGGTGGCAAAGCTGCACAGACAGGCTTGTCCCTCCTGCCCTCTGCTCACCTGGGCCCATCTGAATGGAGATGGCAGCAGTATCATTCTTACCAGGAGGCTGATCTTTTCCATGCCAGGCAGACGGTGGCATGGCAGCCCCCAACAGAAGCTCTGTGCAGCTGGTTTGGGCTGCACTGACAGCTCAGTGGTGCAAAAAAATAAAAAAAACACATAAAAAAAAAATATATGAGAGAGAGAAGCTCGGATGTGGGACAACTGTGGAATCGGCAAGGCACAAACATGGGGAGGTGTGGAGCCAGGCTGCACGGCCCAGGCTCATCCACATCATGGACATGAACTTGAAAGCATTGGCCTTCGAAACCCCAGAGCAGAGCCAGATTCAAATGAGTCCTAACACAGCCCTCCCAATCGTGTCCAGTGCCGCTGTGGGTGTATGTGAGCCAGGGATGCCACCATCTGGTGATTACCAGGCAGGACTCCCCTGCGCTACCATTCTTGGCTGAAGTCTCGGGGGGCTTCTTTGTCTCTATGCCCGTTGCATTGTAGGTAGGATCTTCTCACTGATCACCCTCCATGAGTGCAACCAGGTTTGTGACTCCTATTGCTTGCTTACATTCTCTCCCCACCCATGGGGAACGGGGATAGGATAGAGCCACCCTTGTCCCCCATGTGCCTAGTATTCATCTCCCAGAGATCATTTGAGCTGCCTCCATCCCGTGGACCCAAAAGCAATGCTGACCACAAGATTCATCCCATTGTCATGGGATGTTCGTGTCACACCTCCCCCGGCCCTATCACCTGGCACCGTGCTGTTTTGGTATGTCTAATACACCGATTCTCAACCTGAGTGCTGCAGTACCCAGGGGGCGATGAGATGCTTTGAAAGGTGCCAGGGGGTCTCATGCAATATTAGGTGTGCAAACATCTATACACGAGTCACCAGAGAACCCCTGATATTTCAAATGGGATTCCAGAAGGTCAAAACCATCCTGACCTGCTGTGGTCTTTGAGATCTTTTGCAACAGAAGAACTGCTCTAGTATTTTTCCATAGTCAAAAAACAAGTGAAAGCAAAGAGCTGGCATTTGCCAAGAGATGCCTTGAATTGAAAAGGTTTGAGAACTACTGGTTTAACCCCTCTATCTTGGGATGAGTCAAAGGATCCTTCTCAGCTGCCCCCAGCCACCCACCCTGCCTACATTACCTTGCTGCAGCAACCTTGAAGGATGGACAAGTAGGAGACCGACTGATGCCTAGAAGAACAAGAAAATGAGGGTCCTTCTAGGAATCAGGCCCACTACTTCTCTCTCCTTCTGTGCTAGACTCTAATTACAGACAATAGAGGCAGGAAACAGGATGCCGAAGAGCCAGATTTTTGCAGGGAGATGAGGGACTTATTGGGCTACACCCCACAGCACCCAAATAAATCATGACCAGTCTTCAGGGATAGGAGGGAGCTGGTACGAAGCACAACCTCAGAGCCTGACACTCAGCAGGACACCGGGGAGCAAATGAAGGGCTTTGCAATATGGATGGGTTGGAAGCAGCTGTAGCAACAGTACAGATGCACCCGTAGAGAGTCTGTGCCCTGAAGAGATGCTAGAATAGAAAAGGAAATGACACAGAAGCAGCAGCTTTGGACTCAGCAAAGCCCCTTCCCTGGCTGCCACGGGTACTCACTTGCTCAGAGACCTCTCAGGGAAGGTGAACTGGCCGATGCAGACGCGGTCGACGTGGCTGAGAGGGATGCGCTGCACCTGGAGGCAGCTGAGCATGATGAAATCATATTTGCAGACCAGGAGGGCAGAGTCCGTGATTGCCACGATCCGCTCCTTCTCGTTGTTCCAGTGATCCACCCTGGGGACAGCGTGGAGAGTTACCAGACATCAGCCCTGTGGTCCTCTTGGAAACAGCAAAACGTTTCCACCATAGAGGACTAGAGTCTCAGAGGAGGAGTTCAACCCATATTGGCATAAACACCCACCAGAGACATCTCAAATGGCCCAGGCATGTCCACCCCAGTGCCTCTCAGTGAAGAGTCCCACAGCTTTTTAGAGCACCTTCTGTATATCCCTATTGTATCCAACCCTATTTGCTGCTGTAAGACTTTTCTCATGTGGGAAAGAGCTTCTTTCCCTGCTTGGAAATAATAATTAGTTAAAACAGCAGCAGTCTCCTCCCTCACTTGGAAGCCCAATGATGCAGCGGTGTAAATCACTGCATGACCTGCTGAATTGGTCCACTGGCCTTTACCAAAAGAAGTTCTGTGACACTTTTATTCACATTAACCTAAGTTAATGCACATTAAGGACACGTGTCTACACACGCGTACCCTGAATGCACATTAAAAATGGTGAATTTAGGCTAATCGTACCTCAATTTGATGCCTGCAAATGCACTAAATCTGATACCTACATTAAACACATGTGTAGACGCGTTAAAGCGCATTAACGCTCTGTGTGTGGACTGACTTGGGACTAACTTTAATCTCAAGTCAATCCACACACAGTGTTAATGTGCTTTAACACCTGCACGTGTGGGCACCTGCCTAAACCTGCTCAATGTGCATTCAGCTAATGTGCATTAAGTTTAGGTGCACTTAAATGCACGTGTAGACATGCCCCTTGTGTCCATGAGTGGCAGTGCTAAGAGGCTCCATTTCCCCCCTCCTTTTGCCTTTCTTTAAAGCAGCGATTCTCAACAGGGTGCTGTGGTTTTCCCAGTCCTCTGCAACAGAAAGCCTGCTCTAGTATTTTTCCATAGTAAAGAAAATATAAATGAGTGAAAGCTCAGAGCTGGCATTTTCCAAGGGGGTCCTTGAGTCTACAAAGGTTGAGAACCACCACTTTAAAGCCTCTCAGAAAAGTGCCTGGGTCTACAGCACTTCCCTGCTGATTGTCGTATGCGAACCAGGGAAAATCTCTATGCCCATTTAATAAACCATCGTTGAAGAAACTGTGTCCCAAGATGGGATCAGCTGAGTCCAGACGGCTCAATATAAACTTGATTTCGTCTGCCCAAACAAAAGAGAGGTGTGTGACAGGAATGAACTATCCCTAAAAAAAAAAAAAAGTCAGCTTGCCAAAACAATTCAAAGCCTTTGTTAAAAAGGATGCATGTGCTGAGTGAAGGCGATGGCTTTGCTAATGAAGAGAGAGAGGTGCAGCAGGCAGCTGGTGCATCCTACGTGCATAGAAAATACTTGAAAACCCCACAGCCGACATGGCAGATAGTGCTCTGCAAGCGCACAGCACAGCAGGCAGTTAGGCACATGTTAGGCAAGGTGCAGAAGGCCACGGGGAAAGTTGTGCTTCAAACCACCCTGGGCATCATGGATTTCATGTTGTGGAGTGATTCTTTTTTCCAGTGCAAATTAAAGCTTTGACCCATAGACATCCAGCTAAGGGATACCACAAAAACACATCAGCTCAGCATCGTGATTATCCCAGGTTTAAAACTGAAAAGAAAATTCAACGGCTGAGGCAAAGTCCCCCACATTGCCACGGGAGGGCAATAGCGAACAAGTAACAGGAGGCTGCAGCCAGAAGCGTGCTGGATGAGTAGCATGTAGCTGCACTTACCGAATCAGGATCCCTTGCCTCCCGCTATCCCTGAATGAAACCAAGTCCCCAAGCATCAAAGACGCTCGGGGACTAGACTCTGATGTGAACAACTGTGAACACACAGAAAATCCCCTTCAGGCCCCAAGTCTCTGCTCCTTGGACTTTCAGGAGCTCTGCTGACGGCAGATAACCTCCGCGGTCAGCTGAGATTGTCGGCTCATCCAGGGCAATCAGCAGAATGGATTCAGATGCATTTTGGCTAGAAAATAACCGTTCCTGTATTAGGACTAGTCTTTAAAACACAGAGTTCAGCATCAGACAGCGGTCGCAGGTCATGGGCAGATGCTACTCTGAGCAGGCAATTGATCCAATGTAATGAATTCTTTTATTCAAGGTCTTTCAGAGAGAGGCTTAGGAGGTCAACGCATTTTGCTTACTGAAGAGAAGGCTGCAAGGTGACTTGATCTCAGGAGAGGCATAAATACCTCCAGTGGGGGATTGGCAGACCAGGTTCTTTGAGTAAATCTGCTATCTTTTATTGGACCAAGTCAAATAGTTGGAAAATTGCAAGCTTTTGGGCACAGGCACCCTTCCTCAGGCTGAGGAAGCATCTGCTGTTGGGATCCAGTGGGAGATGGCATTAGATTCGAAAGGGCTCCGTAACTTAGCGTACTATAGCACCATCAGACCCAGTGGCTGGAAGTCAAAAAGCTGAGCAAATTCAAACTGGAAATGAGACTCATTCTTTGTAAGCCTGTCGTTGATCAACCAGTGGCTCAACTTAAGTAGGTCCG